AAAAAGCATGAACCAAATTATTGACTGAATGCACTAGGAAGCCCAGCAGACGCCCGACTTCCGGGACAAGCATCGAACTTCCGGTGGCTTCACTTGCGCCAGGCTGGGAAAGCAGCTATGCGCCATCAAGCCCCCAATGGTGGAGATCAGTGAGTTTAGCAGCAATCGGGGCCATCTAGGCGACCAATCTTTTTCTTAGCACCAATGGAAGGGTTCGGATTACAAAGCAGACATGGACATCCCACAATCAACAGCACACGCAAGGCAAAACACTATCGAACAAATTTCGCAAGAGTGGCATAAAAAATGCAAAAGACATTCGAAGCCAGGATCACAAGAACAGTTATACACAGGACAAAACTAACTCCCCCCCCCCCCCCCCCCCCCCCTCTTAAGGAGAGATCTCAAAACAAGGCATTTACATCACAAAACACCTCCGACGTGGAGCTCTAGAACAAGTGTACCGTTGCAGCGTTCACGTTCGTCGGTGCCTCTCGACTGTCACCTCCATTTTTGGCCTCCAGACTCCGGTAGAAACCATGCAACGTGCCGTAGAGACGATCAGCATCGGCCAAAAAAAACCTCGCAATTCCGCGAAAAAAAAAAAAAGACACAGAGAAGTTAAATTAATCACGTGCACAAGCGCGGCTACGGGACAGTATTATTATTGGGTATCGTTTTCGGAGGTACTGGAACAATCTACTAACTCCTTATTAGTAAATTTTAATGAGTGATAAAAAAAGATACCTCTCAATCCTTGGGGGAATATTTTTGAAATACGAAATCAATAATTTAATTTAAGGATGAGAGATTGAGGGATTTGCTGATCGACCTTTCAGGCAGAAAACATTTACAGCACTCCACTAGTGCAGAGCCAATAACCTTGGACGCCTCTTATGTAAGCTTAAAAGCTTCAGGCACACATGCAGTCGCTTTAGCTGTCATAGATGCGAGGAACTTCGAAAGTATCTTCCTCTTCGTAGCAAAGGTCGTAATTTATGAGAAAGCAGTTGCTTGTGCGTCTGACTTGTATAACCAAATTACAGCGTGTACTTTATAGCGCGAGGCTTAATTTATGTCTCTGTCGTAAACGGATAGTTTTACTTCATGCTTCGCATCTCGCGATGCGCCTCCTTTTCATCACGGCAAGATTTACGGCGTCGCTCATTCATTTAGCGAAGTCCGTACGGGGCCCAGCTTGGAGAAAAATTTGGAAGGTTTAGAAAACTGCCCCGGCTCGCCGAAGAGGGGTTCGATTAATCTTTACGGCGTTTGGAACAAAGCCAGTATGACGTCTCAAAGAAGCTGTCTTCTTGCCAGTAGAGACTGCATTCCTCGACATTCACGTCCGCGGAAGCGGCGTTTCACTGCCGTCAGAAAGGCCCCCGGGAAAAGTTAGAAAGGCAAGACAGTTTTCATTGCAAATAATAAAATGAGGCTGACGGGGTAGAACACGAACTTACTCGAGATATGGAATGAGGTGTGGGGGGAGGGATGCAAGTTTGAAAGGCACATTTATGTTAAATTGTTTTCACAATCGTGAAACTCTTCTTTACGTGCAGTAGACTTTTCTGCGATAAAATATAATACAAAAATAATTTGAACATATGATAGTGAATGAAACTGGCGCCACAAAGATAAATAACACTTCAATCGTTCTTGAACTTTGCAGGAAATGTTTTTTGGTGCGTGTTCATTCTTGCTACGTTCGAACAAAATATTTGATAGGGCTTTACTGGAATTTTGTGTCGGAAGTGGCAGACCATCGACACTAGATGATTCGAAAAAGCTTGAAGTTTCTTAGAATAAATTGCTAGGGGCGGATCGGAAGGTCAACCTTACTCTTTCCTTTCAGAAGCTCCTTGGTGTGTACTAGCGCGCCATGCGATCAAAACACCAGCAGACGTAAGCACCAGACGTCACCATACCCTGTTGCAAGTTAAGAAAACCAGGGAAAGCTCCTGCCGCTAAGCTCTTAGCCCTTCCCCCTTTAACAGAGCGAACGCCGGTGAGGAGTGTTGAGAGGAGGCGAGACGAGGCGAGGAGGGACTAGCCTCCTCTCCGGCGTTTGCTCCATTAAGTGGAAAGGGGGAAGGGCGTCGAAGGAGGAGCTTGTCACCGCCGACTAAATACGTCGTTGACCATAACGATAGTGTAGCGGAAGGTACTGTAAGTACTCGGTATTTACCACCCGTGTCTCGAGCGCCTTAAGCCCAGAGTCGCTTATGTAGAGAGTGTGGTCATAAATTGGAAAGAATAAGGACACATGATTGACCGAAATTTTTAAATAAGCCTGGGCGCGATAATTGATAGCTCTTCTGACCAACCACTTAGCCATGAATATTCCCCTAGTGGAAGCAATGTGCTTAACCTATATTGTCCAATCATAATTTCTAGGTAAGGATGTAATCAAGTATTTCATTTCAGCACGCTAGAGTTGAAATTTGCCACCCTCTGTAACTGAAAGGGCAACGCAAGTGACGGTGTCGTCACGGCGACGTTCAGAATGCACTATATCTTTCTCTTGATTGCAGTCGCACCCGCGGCCACGACCGAGTGGACGATAAGAACCGTGGACACTGCTCCGTGGGAAGTTTGACCCTAAGAGAGAACGCGCAGCCCACGTTCGTATTATATTCCTAACGAGCGTGTTGGTACAAAGTACTAGATAAAGGAAAGTATAAAACAGACAGTGTTTCGTCCTCTCTCGGTTTTATACTTTCTGTTATCTAGTAACACGTTCGTAGTTTCGCCTCATGTTTCAGGAACCTTTTCTGGGTTTCGAAAGAAGGAAACTCGTGCTCTCTGCTTCTAGTAAATTTGCCTTTTTTTCAGTGACATCTCTAACTTTGACTTGCTTTATTTTGGGCCCACACCTGATGTGACGACAAAATCAATCGAAAAGGACAATGTGCTGGTATTTCTTGATAGAGCGAGACCAACCTTACTGTTTTTGCCCTGTCGCACAATTAGACTCAACGAGAATGGAAAACAGTATCTCTTTAACAATCGGAAAGAATAAACAAATTCGGGACAAAAACAGAGGCACACATACAACAGACGCATCTTACTCTTTGTTGTATGCGTCTGTTGCATGTGTGCGTCTGTTTTCGTCCCGAATTCGTGTTTATTCTTTCTGATTGTTTAAGTATATTTCCCAACACGCTAGTTTTAATGTTAAGTGTCTCTTCATACGACAGTTTTTGCTTTCCTGGCGATTTTTGGTAGTTCCTCCTGGTGAGAAAGAGTTGGTGCAGTCGAGCTGCGTCCTCGAGTAAGGAGCTCGCGCTTGTAGCGAAGTAGGGGTATTGCCGTATCGGTTAATTTATGAGAAAGCGCTGAGTGAGAAGCAAATATTTATACAATGCAATATTTAGTCCAAAAGATAATGAAGAAGTGAAAAATGTGTGAACACATTATATGAGCGGTGCCTCTTACCGAGCGGAAATAAATCGACGATATGAACCTATGACTTCGGAGCATGTAGCACTTGAGACAGGGACGGGGCTCGCAGTCGCATCCCAGAAGGTCGCGGGCCGCGTGTTTTAGACCCCTGTACGCACGTACATTTGATCTCCCAAATATCACGATGCCTTCGCTCTAGTCAAATGTAGTTCCAGGGCCACCTCATGAATAACGCAAGCGCTCAGTCTTGTCGAGAGAGACCCCAAGAGCTCATTTCTAAGCAAACGCAAGTATCAAAATGGGCCCCCTTTAGAATGTGACTAACAAACCTTAGTGAAGGAGTAGGTCTAGTTTAGCCTGTGTTTAGTGGGCGGCTAGCGCTCAGCGCCGTGTCCTAGTCCCATCACCGCCAATCGCCATCTTGAACCAAGCAAATATTGTCTCAGAACGCCGATGGATAACTCCAGTAGGAAATGTAGCAACACACCCTAAGAAATGCCTGCGCGTTTACTTACCGGCAAAACACTCGAAGAGCCAATCTCTGCGATCTACGAAATCAGCGCAACGAAGGATGAGGCGGAAATCCGTTTAGAAATAAAAATGAAGTCCGCGCTGTGGCATTACGCAACGCAAAGCGTCATGCTTGCATTGCGTAACGCCAGAGCGTATACTTCATTTTGAGCTCTAAGCGGATGTTCCGCCTCATCATTCGTTGAGCTGATTTCGTAGATCGCAGAGATTGGCTCTTCGAGCGTTTTGCGAGTAAGTAGACGCGTAGGAATATCTTAGAGTGCTAATGTTCTGGGTATCGCCTTGTCTAGAGGACAGAGCTGCCGCTAAAATGATCCCAACAGGTCACTGAACGAGGAGAGAGGCCGCAATTCAAGAGTACTTCCATCTTCATTACGTCGCCTACAATCCGGCTTTCTTCATGTTGTCTTTCGATGTTCAATTTTCCTTTTAATCAGATCTGTATACAGCAAAGCCCTATAGTTGTAACGTTTACTTTTACCTAATTAATGTCTACGTTTTACGCGATAAATGTTTCGTTCACCCAGTAGCATTTCCTGAGTACATGCCTGCGTGACTTTATTTTACAGTCACTTTCGCTTGTTACTCCTGAGCAATATCCCACCTTGCGGCGATCAAGTTTGATCCCAGGAATACTGCCAGTCCTAGTCGTTCGTTTCTCGCTGAGTAGTCATGCCTGGTGAATACGACTGCAGTTGTTGGTATTCCATTATTTAATTCACACAACGAGAAAGTTGTTCAGCCATTCGTCATGCGTTCTCAGCGGCAAAACTTGTCTTGCCACGGAGACTGATCGTTGGTGTATACTGTGCCATTTACCATTCTGTTTGGTTAAGCTAATTAAAGGAATACCGATGATTTTTGTTCGGAGAGCATTGTAGGGAAGCGTACGCTCTGGGACTTGTGAGAGCGTATACAGAATTATATCTTAAATACTACATGAATATAATGCACCCGGGACTAATCTATGCAATGAATCATACATGAATTAAACGGTACCTTAAAGTGTACTGTATCCGCAGTTTTACTCATCGAGTTCGTTCGATAATCACCTTATACTCACAATGTCTCCGCTTTTCTTTCGGTTTAGGTATCTCACGCTCTTCCTAATCTTCCTTACGGCAACATTCCAAGCGCGAGCCTCAGAAGCCGAGAACCTCGTTCCCAATCTCTGCAATCTAATCGATCAAGCGCTATACTGCCGCTGTGACACAGACGATATCACCGATGACGCGACCGAAGTGACCTGCTACGTGGTGAAGGAGATCGCCGAAGAGGACATCGTATTCAAGGCCCTCGCGAAGCAGCCGTCCATCGTCTCGATCGTGTTCAGTTCGCTCAGTGAGGAGCACCACTTAAAGTTTGTTCCTTCCAACGTCCTGCCACATGCTCCAGTCTTGGAGCGTCTTAAGTTCTCCCAGGCGGAGTTGGGTGTCTTGAGGACTCACGCCTTCTACAACCTGACAAAACTGGCCGTGCTGTCCCTCGACTCCAACGAGATCTCGGAACTGGAGACGGACTGCATCTCGCATCTGCCTCGCCTCAAGAAGCTGGAACTGGCGGACAACAAGCTAAAAAAGATGCCCGCAGGAGCCCTGTCTCACCTACCGTCTCTGACGCACTTGTTCCTGGAGCGGAACAAGATGACGGTCATAGAGGACTTCGCCTTCGCGGGCCTGGGCAAGGTTAAAGAGCTAGACCTCAGCGACAACTCCATCGAGGCCCTCACCGAGCACAGCTTCAAGGGCCTGTCGCGGGTCCTCAGGCTCGACATGTTTCGAAACAAGCTGAAGAGGCTGGAAGCCCGGGTCTTCGGCGGCTTGTCGTCCCTGGTGGAGCTTGACCTGAAGTACAACGAGATCTCCGAGGTGGATCCACTGGCCTTCGACGGTCTACTGCACCTAACCATCGTGTACCTCTCGTTGAACCGTCTGCGCGTCCTGCCGGCGCAAATGTTCATGGGAGCTCCCAACCTTGCGACCGTGGACCTGTCGCAGAACCAGCTGGTCACGCTTACCTGGAGGACTGTCCAGGACTTGAGGAAGATTGACACCGAGGCCTTCGACATGAGCCTCACTGGTCAGTGTTTTTGTTTTGTTTTGTTTCTGTCCCCGTGTACTTGAAGCTTCTGCATAGATATTGCCCCATGGTATTTTCGCCACGTTCTTTCGAACACACTGCGCCGTCGCGCCAGTCGGCGCTACGAGTTAATGGGACCAATCAAGCAGCGTTAAAAGCGCAACACTCCAGGCCTTTTCTGTTTAACACGCACAAAAACGTGACGATCACTATGATGGTCGCTTTAGACGTTGTCTGATTGGTCCCATCAGCTTGTAGCGTCGGCTGCGCCTGGACGTAAGATGAAAGGAAGTATAGTAAGAAGCACGGAGGAGTGCCTCACTTATCTAGAAATTTTAAGTAGCCGAGTGCCATCAATTAAACGCTTAATATGGAATTATTTCCACCCAACAATAAAAGCAAGAAATGAAAAGAAGCAGACGTCGGCATTTTGACTCGTCTTTGGTGCACTTTCGTAGCAGCAGAGTGCATTAGCATACAAATGTAGAAAACAAAACCAGTAAGCTAAGTGCAAATAAGCAATTGATGTAGCAAAATAATCTAATAAAAACTGCGTGAAACAATTTCTGTTCTTTATTAATAAAAAGGCACGGCGTAAAACAATGTCGAATCAATAAAAAAATTGTGTGGAGCGTGGAACCATTAGCACCTAAAAACATGGCCTGCGTATGACGTCATTTTTAGGAAATCTTCTACCTGCCCCGAGCGGTAAACATGCTGAATCTCAACTAGAGCCACCGCAAGGCGGCAGGCGGGTCCGTCTTTGTGTTGCAGCGTGCAAGCGTGCGCTCGTTGCGAGACGCTGCGAGACGCTCTGGCGGCGATGCTGATGCCAGGTTGGTGGCGCTGCGTGGATCATGACGTCTTGGGGGGAAAGGCGCCTTCTCTATTATTGGTGGATAGGAAATTTGGTTCAACTCCCCAAGCAGAACGGCTTCTGGTCGCGCAGGGAGATCTAGGTACTATACTCCGCTCAACCCCAAGCTGAGACTGCAGTCGAAGGTACGTGCCCGCCGGACCAATCAGCCGCCTCCCTCTTATCCCCTCACCCGGCTTTCTGCGCGTGGGTAAGGGCGGAAGCGTGATGACGCGACGAAGGAGAAGAGCATGACAAGTCTAAGGAGGACATAGCCTCCACTGAAGTCTCAGCTTAGGTGTGAACGGAGTATAGTTCCCGTGCGTGCTTACGTCCTGATAGATCTAGCGGCTGAACGTAAGTTTTGTCGTGATACATTTTCGCGGGGGGGGGGGGGGGGGGGGGGGAGAGCTTAAGGAGGCACACTATGTTATCTTGACACGCTGAACAAGTGGAACAACCATGGAAAGTGTTGGGAAAGACTTGACACACGCGGCTGTCGTGGTATCTTTAATTGGTTGCGTGGGAGCGGCCCAAAAACTTGCAGACTCCGCTTTTTCTTGGTACAACTTCCTGCTCCTACTACTTCTAATTCGCTCATACAGAGCGGCGGTACCGTTGCAACCAGTTCTGAAGCGTCTCCACGACACGCTTTTCGAAAGCGTGCAAGCAGTTTCGTGCAAAAGCGGTCCCTAAAGGCTGAACCGCATATAAGTGATTTAGCGAGCGACGAGACGAGCGACAGCGGCGAGAGTCAGCGGCGAGCGACGGATGTTTCTCACTGTCGCTCGTCGCGTCGTTCGGTGTTTCGATTTGTAGAAAACATCCTCATCGCCTTGGTCACTTGCTCAAGCCATTTTCATGCGGCTTGCCTCATCGCGCGACTGACCGAGCGACAGCGAAGCGGGTCGACGTCGCCTGTGTCGTCTCTCGGCAAACCGATTACATGCGGGTTAAACTTAACACAGTGGTTTATAATGGAGGCAACAGCAACGTACATATATAGAGGAACTGCTGCTGCCGACGACGACAATCATTGTCTAGAAGAGGGTACGTATTGCCATCTTGCGGGCATGTATGGCAGTCGTGCCGGCGCGTTGTGGGACGCCTGTGAAGGGATTTTCGCGGCGCCACACCATAGCGACTATTCGGAAATTATTCAAAAAATATTCGAAACTTTCTAAAATTATTATTCGATTCGATTAAAGAATCGAATAGGGTAGTATTGGATTCGTAATTCGAAAATGGCGAATATTCGCACACCCCTCAAAATTACTGTTCCGGAAGGTGCCGCGGCAATGGCAGCACGTAAACTAAAAATAAAAATATTTTTATTTGGTTACACGTACGTCAAATGGGTTCCTCGTTTCTTTCCGCACAACAAAATTTAGCGCAGACACTTACTGGATCACCGAAGAAGGAACAAGCTACAAGTAACGCGTTATACTGACTCTCCCTGTGTCTTCCGAAGGGCAGGCATGAATCATTGGGGTAGTGCGCACTCCGATAGGAATAGGTATGAAGTATTCCCATATATAACTTCGACGTGGCGCCACGCAAATCAGCTCTGTCTACTCGGCTTAAACGTCGCCGTCAGCCGGCGATTAGCACGCCTTCGAGAGAGCTAAAAAAAATGGCATTTGGCGTTTCGTAAGAGAGGCTGAGAACAGCTTTGAAGGCGGATGTGCATCGCATTGCGAGTGACCTTGGACGCTCTTAAGGATGGGCTCGAATGAGCACAATGCTCCCGAGTGTGCACATGGCGCCTAATCTACGGAAGCGAGAGATGACGCGAACGTCGTTTTAGATTACCGCCGGGCCGGACAACTTTCCTTGTTTTTCTAGCTGAAATTAGAGAAGCGACGGCTACTCCCGCGGTATAGTGGCTTCCTGAGAAAGAATCGGAAAATAAATATTAAGAGGAGTGTTACACTCACCTCGTCTTAACATGGACAAAGCGGAAAGGCTACAAGTGCGAGCTCCATGCATTGGAACGCGCCTCGGCTGCACGAGCGCTCATGCAGCGCATGAGCACTCCCGCTCTTCTCGCGCTGGTAGCCTTTGCAATCTCTCCATGTTCAGGTTAGGCGGAGGATAGAGCTTTTCCGATTAACAGCTATGGGTGTATGTTGGTATACACCAGTTCATGTTTCGCGCGTTATGCCAGAAGGGTGGCGCTGGCTCTAAAACAGAACATGGACAGGTGTTTTGGTTTTCTGAAAGTCGGCTATACGTGGGCGTGGCTCTACACTTTCCGTCGATAAACGGGCTTATCTACAAAATATGATTTTGTGCAGATGAGTGATGAGGCTGTTTCCCAGTAAATAGGCACGTACTGGGAACGTGTATATAAAAGCGGGCAAGATAAATACAAGATATTAAGCAATGTGAACACCCAATATGAATGCTAAAGAACAATACGTCTGAAACTTTGTTAATATGCAGGAACGTTGTTTCTTCTTTTAAATATCAAGAATGAATATAAAAATTAAACGAAATATTTGAATGTGCCCAGTCTAACTTGGATCTTTATTAAACAAACATCCGTGTCGAGGTCTTCTGTTTAGTTGACCTGAAAACATGATGTGTTCGATGTGTGGAGTTTTATCTCTACATAAGAAAGTAAAACCTTCGATTAATTTATAGGTACACTTTTTTTCTCGGCGCGAGCACATTTGGTGGTCGTAATGATGCCCAAGGAGAGCTTAACGTATAATATTTGTTGTACATAAACCACAACCTGTGTACATATTTTCTAGCTTCTTAATTTAAGAAATCACAGCCACCATGTTTATAATTTAATATTTGCTCTCATAAAGTTTCACAAAGAGCGATAGTTTTAGTTTGAAGAAGGGTACACCGGAAGAGGCATTTCAAAACACAAATGTCGTTATCTCATAAATTTAATACTAATATTTATCTCCGTGCATGTCTACTCAAAGTTTTCGAAGCATTTACACATCAATGCTATATGAGAATGTCGTCGCACGCGTTTTGCGTAATAGCACATTTCACCGTTTTGAGTTATTTAAACCATTTGCCATTTCCGACACCAGGTGGGCTTTCTTTTTTCCTTATATTTTTTAACATAATTTTGTTTCTGATAGGATTTACCTGCATTCTACAAAACATAATAGTCTATAAATACAATATTTGATTTCTATATTTGTAATATCGGTAATGAAAAGTAAAAAAGTCAAGTGCCTAATGAAAAAGACCTAGGGCCCCCTCAACAGGCAGATAGTAAGATTTATGGCTTTTGATACATTCGGTTCTCCCTCTTGTAAATGCGAAAGACAATTTTAATAATTTATTCGTGTTAAAGATGGCATTTCGTTTGCGAAGAAGTTTATTGTCAGGAACTTTGTGTCACGGGCTTTGTATAGATCTATGGGGAAAATAATCATCTGACTCCCGCTAGTTATTAACTTACCCAAAGCATGCCTTAGTTTCAATGTTCTCTTCAAACGAAAATTCTTTTTCCTAAAGCTGTAACACCTTCGTTGCGCCTTTGGGCTGTCCGGGGTAATCTTTCAATAATGAACAAATACTGAATTTAGAGAATTATATTTCAAGTCTATGCATACAAGCGGCGAAGACAATTAAAAGCTTGGTCTGCTGAACAAGTTGGTAATTGACATTCACATTAAAAACAGAGCAAAAAATAGTCTTTTTGTGCGATTTTTAATATGAATGTCAAGACAGTTAATTTTACTGCATAACAGAAAATAAATCTCAATTTTTTTTATTTTCTAATAACTTTAAACAAACACTGGTTATCAATATGGGCCTAATATCCACATGTGCTTGTCGTCTTATTTAAGAATAGGTAAAAAAAAAATTGGGTTGTGTATGTGTTTATACAGCCTAGAACTTGGTCTGCCTCACAGGGGCGACGAGTCTCCCAGCTGTAGATGAGAAATTTAGCCAGTGCGGTACAGCCGCTAGCCTGGGGTCTTTAACGTGCACCACGCAGTAGTGATACACGACCGCACGCCGGTACGATGCTCATCCAGATCGAAACGGGCAGGGGTGGGGCTCGAACCCAGGATCCCTGGGTTCTGCATCGCGAGCTTTCGCTCCACGTGCTCCGAGCTGGTGTGCGCTAGACCACTCGGCCACCGATCCCCCCTTTAAGAATAGG